GAACATGTTATTTGAAAGAGGATGTCATTTGGGGCAGGCAGAATGAATCTCTTTGGGGAATTACATGTAAATGCTGCCAGGTTACCAAAACTTAGTGTTGGTAGGTATTTCCAAGGTCATCTAGTTCAGTCTCCTCTCTCCCTCCCTCCTTTCCTCCCTCTTTTACTCCCTTCTTTTTCTCCCTCCCACCTTTCTTCTCTCCTTCCTTCGTTCCTTCCCTCCTTCTCTTCTTCCTTCCTTCCTCATACTTTACCCCTAAATCATCACTTTTAAGATTTTGTCTTCTTAAAAATATGAGGAACACTATAAGGACCAATCAAAGGATGTCTCTGTTCCATCATTATTTCTGACAGCAACATCACGAAATGGATTTTATGAAAAAAAGATCTAATTGTATTAGATCTCTACCCAGTTTAACAGTTTTTTTTTGTAAAGGGAAATTTGTCATTTCACATGGGAAGATTTGCCCCAGTCCTCCCTAAAATGAGTTTCCCACCCCCCTCAGTTTCTCTGTAATAAGTATGTTGTCACATGCTAAGACTGATTCATTCATTCTGTGAGCACTTAGTGACCCCTACTATGTACAGCTCTCTGTGCTAAATACAGAAATGGGACAAGATTTGTCAAGAATGGTCCCTGTCTTCAAGGAGCTAAAGGTGAGCCTTAAGAGGAAACTGCAGACTGGGCTCAGTGGCTCAAGCCTGTAATCCCAGCACTATCAAGCCGAGGCAGGTGGATTACTTGAGGTCAGGAGTTCAAGATGAGGCTGACCAACATGGTGAAACCCCGTCTCTACTAAAAATACAAAAATTAGCCATGCGTGGTGGTGCACGCCTATAGTCCCAGGTACTTGGGAGACTGAGGCAGGAGAAACACTTGGATCTGCGAGGTGGAGGTTGCAGTGAGCTGAGATTGCACAACACTGCACTCCAGCCTGAGCAAAAGAGTGAGACTCCATCTCAAAAAAAAGAAAAAAGAGGAAAGTGAAGAACCTAAGTTTTAATAACCATTGGAACCCCTAGAGCTGAGCAAAGAACTCTAGGAATTCAAAGGAGATGAGGTTATGTCTCAGGAGCTCACCTAGAAGGGTAGGTGGGGTTTGGACAGACAGAAACAGGGAAAGACTATATTATCAGAGGTTGCAATAAATGAATTCAGTGGGCATCTGTTGCGCCCAACAGCTTTCATTCTATCTACTCAACTTTCTATTGGGGAACCAGTTAAACCCCCTTATTCCAGTCTTGGTTGAACTGATAGGCTGCCGTGCCCTCTGTATGTCAAGAGGTGAACATACTATGCAAGCAAGGACATTCATAGAATTTTTGCCAGGAATTTGATCAGAGTGAACCAAGGAAAGAGAAGAGTTAGAGCTGCTCAAGACTCTTCTTTAGCAGAGACTGTCAGTAAGGTCCTATTCCCTTGGTACCCTGAGCTACTCCTGATACTGTCTTTCCCAAACTGGGTGGCTCATTTTTGTCCACTGACTCTATGAACCACCCCACATTATTCTAACAAATTCTCTTTTTTGGCTTAGTTTAGCTAGAATCACTTCTGTTGCATTCAGCCAGAGACCCCTAAATGGTAGATTAACGGACTTAGAGAAGAAAAAACAAGATTTGTTTGGGTGGCAATGAATAGTCTGTCTGTAGGCTGCATACTAGGAAGCTTGTAGTTGGAAAAGGATGCTTGGCTCTGGAATGTGGGGGACCTTAACTGCTAAGCTCAACGGATCCATCAAAGCCAAATTTTAGAAAGATTAAGTGGGAGAAGGAGCAGGGAAACAAGGCGGTTAGTAACGTAGCTTCTTTTATAAATTCTTGCACTGTCTTGCATTATTTATTTAACTTGCCTTGCCAAGTTTTTGGAAACTCATTATATATGCCTATATTCATTATAATGTAGGACTGTAAAGATGATTAAGACATGCTTCTTGTCTTCCCAGAGCCCCTCAACTGAAAGGTTGTTCGTGTGAGGAATAAATGAATAGGATTACATAAGAGTTATAGATATTTTATGTACAAGAGAGTGATTAACTCTTACATTGGGCTAGGAAAGGCTTCAAAGAGGTGATGATTTCTGAAGAGAGCTTTGAATAGAGATTTGCCAGATGGGCCTGGTGGAGATAGGTATAAGCATTGGGATTACAGGTTTGAAGTCCTGGAAATATATCAGCATTAGAGATAAAGATTTAGGATCATAAATACATGATATGGTCATTTAAAAATAGATGAAATTGCCCAGGGACATAGACGATAGTTATAAAAGAAGAAAGACATGGACTGAACTCCAGGGAACATCAGCAGTTAAAAGATAGCCTGACAAATACAATGCCTAGCAGAGGACCGTGAGATAGGAGTGAGCATTCAGGAGAATTACCAGAGCAGGGCACCGTGGGAGCCGGTAGAGGAGAAAGTTACAGGATGGGAGGAGGAAAGTGTAAGAAGCCACAAGATTAAATAAAAACAGGACCTAAGAATGTCTATTAGTTTGGGGAAAGGAAGGGCTATTAATCTAGTGAGAGTAATTTCAGTGGAATGGTGGGGGCAGGAATTAGTTTACATGGGGAGGATGGGGAGATGAGGTGGGGAAACAGAGTCTACCCTTGCTTTCAGGAAAACTAGCTGGTGATGAAAGGAGAGGGATATTAGCAAAGGGGAATACAGGTCAAGGGAGGCTTCTTTCTTTGTTTTGTTTTGCTAATGAGAAGAACTGATGCTTATTAGTCCTGGAGGTCTGTGGCATGGGCTTTCCTATCAACTGAATACCTTAAAGAGAACAAGCTGTTCCTTCTGATATGTAAATATACAATCTCACTTCTGATCCAAGATGGGCCTGTTTTACTCTGTATTTTTCTCTATCACAAAAATATAGTGCTATTCTAACTGTAACTGTGTGAAGATACTGAAAGGATTGAAATGTCCCAGAAGCAAATAAATTTGGGATCATATATTAAATATTTAACTTGGCCATATGTAGATTAACTTTTCAAGGAGGGAAAATCAAGTTGAATTCTAATCCCAAATGTGTATTCTTCTTAGGGAGAAATATTTTGAGTACATATAAAACACCTTATGTGGCAACTGCCTCCCTCCCTAGTTTGGGGATAACAAAGGCAAAGGGTTAGGATTAGCAGAATCTACTAATAATCTGATCATTGTTTTAGTGAAATAACAATTTCTACTAAAGACTTCCCCCTTAGGCTTGGCTGTACTTCTGAAGGTTGGTCAGCTAGTAGGTGTTGTGCCCATTTCAAGCTTCATGACTTTTCTGGTCTAGTTTGTTAGTCAGTCTCATTAGGCTCCCAGGTGACATAAACCCAGTTTGAAATAAAGAACAAGAAAGTTATCGGCTCAAGAAACCAAACTATGATACAGTCAAGCTTTTGTAAACTCAAGCCATTTCAGTTATTTCAAGCCAGGAACTAACTATATACCTCTCTCTGTCTCTCAGTTGTGCTTCTTTTTTGGTGCAGGATTTATTTTCAGCCATTGCATACTTGCTTTCTTCTTTGAGCTAGACCAATGGATGCCAGCAGCTTCTAGACTCATTTTCTCATTACTAGGAGAGAGGAAAAGACTTGCCCCTTGCTCTAGAACTTTGTTATCCTTGGGTCATATACCTATCCCACCCCCTATCCCCAGAGGGGTATAGCCAGAGGATTGAGTTACTAAGGTTAGTCCAGCTAGGATTAGATGCCCATCATTTGCCGAGTCATTGTGACTGAAGAAGCAGAGTCTTTAGGGAGATAGCATTCTCCATTGCCCTGCTTGGTGAGGAAGGAGGCCCTTGAAGAGTAGGGGCTGTTGCCTGAAAAGAGAAGAATACTAGGCAGACAAAAACTAGAGATGTTCAATACATTTGGTTTGCACAAAACTTAACTAGGGTATGTGAACACATAGACTGACTGGTTGGAATGAGGGTATGTGAAAGCTTTGTGAAATTATCTACCAGAACATGTCTCTCCTAGAGAAGGGAATTACAGTGGGTTATAACTTGATTGTATTAGAAAAATAAACCATCCTACAGAGACTTAGCGCTTTACAATATAAAAGTAATTTCACTTGCATCAAGCTTATTGGAGCTAAAAGTAATTGAGTAGATATTTTTTATTTCCATTTGAGAGAGTACAGACTGAGTCTCAGAATAAAAGATAAAACTTTCTTCCTCAGGATCCCATAACCATTGAGTAAGACAATAGCTTTCAGTTTGGAGTCAGTAGTCCCAACTTCAAATACTTATTCCATTACACCTGATTCTCCATGCTACTGAAAGTACAATTTTTTAAAGGGTTATTCTTGCCCAGTTTTAGGAAGTGTTTTTGTATGTGACTTATAAATTGTATTAACAAATTGTTCCCAATTTATTAAAGTTATGACTTCACAGATTCCTCAGGCCACCACAAATCTGCTCCTGTTGACCTAATCTCTCCTAAAGGGCAACATGATTTTTAGGCTCTCTTAAAAATGTGTGGTATCTCGGCTGGGCACAGTGGCCAATGCCTGTAATCCCACCACTTTGGGAGGCTGAGATAGGCGGATCACCAGGTCAGGAGTTCCATCTTAATCAACATGGTGAAACCCCGTCTCTACTAAAAATACAAAAATTAGCTGGGCATGGTGGTGCACACCTGTAACTTCAGCTACTCAGGAGGCTGAGGCAGGAGAATGACTTAAACCTGGGAGGTGGAGGTTGCAGTAAGCTGAGATTGTGCCACTTGCATTCCAGTCTGAGAGACAGAGCAAGACTCTACCTCAAAAAAAAAAATGTGTGGTAGTGTGTATCTCTTAATAATTAGGTACTCTATTGGATGATGTATTTCTAGATAGCCTGGAAACAATGGCTTAAAGTGGTTTCAAACCCACCAAGACTGATATGTTCTTTTGCCTTATGTTCTCTAATCTGATTCGCCAGAAAGGAAAAAGGCATATAACAATTGAAGTTTTTAAATATTAAATTTATTTATATCTTTAGCAATTTCTTGGTATTATTGTTTGTTTCAGATGAAAAGAAACAAATGGTTGCAAATGTGGAGAAACAGCTTGAAGAAGCGAAAGAACTGGTATGTCCAGACTTAGTAATGTATTTTAACACACAACCAGAGCCGTTTACGCTAATGCCTTCCTCTAACCTGTTTTATACATTGTGGAAATGTGAAGCCTTGCTTAGTAGCATTTTATTCAGAATTTGTCCATGTTTAAATTGAAGAGATTATAATAGCTTCTTGGGATTTTATTCTTCTTAATAAAGGTGATTCATTAAATATTTCTCATTTTTATTCCTTCATAATATGTTTCATAAATAACAGCTGTAAATAGCTAATGCTGGATAAAGGCATACTGCGTACCAGACACTGGATTAGAAGTATTGCGTATTTTATAATATTTGATTTTCTCCAAAACCATGTGAGACAATATTATTTGTCAAAAACAATAGTCTCATAGTTTCTCCTATTTTCAAGCTCCCAAGTTTCATAGATGACTATAGAAGACATGAGACTCCTAGTTCAGAGACAAAAGATTTTTATGGCCCACAACAAAAGCAGATGCCAGTGTTTCCGGCTGGTTGCATCAGTTCCTGAGTTTCAGTTCCCACAGTGGTGATGTAGGCAGACCTAGATATATGCCTACAACAGCATTGAATGCCTTATAGGCGAGAGCCTAGGAAATGTGCCACTTTATAGCAACCTATAAGCAAGGCTGTTGTTTGTCCCAGGTGACACATTATTTCCTCTCTCTGAGCTCCTTGCAAATACTAAAAAATGGCTCAGACAGAGTGCTCAGGACCTTGTATTCTTGGCATACCAGGCAAGACATGTAGGAGCATGAGAGAATCTTGGCAAAGTGATTCTCAACACTGCTACTACTCCCATTTTATGGATGGGGACACAGAGACTTAAAAGATTAAGTAACTTGTTGGAGGTCCCAAACCCTCTTCAGTGATAAAGATTTGTTCCTAGTTATGCTGAACCCAGAGCTCTGGTTCATCCACTACTTTTTTATATGAGTGAATTAGTAAAACATGGAGCAAAAAAGGACTAAAAGTATGTATCTTAATTTGTGCCTTTAAAAGCCAACTACTACAAGCATGAGTATGCATTGTCTCAACTTGTTACTACGCATTGTGGCCCTGGATGAGTGTGTTGCTTTTCTGTTTTATTTTATTTTTGATATAGAGCCTCACTCTGTCACCCAGGCTGGAGTACAGTGGTGCAGTCTCGGCTCACTGCAACCTCCACCTCCTGGGCTCAAGCAATTCTCATGCCTCAGTGCTCCGAGTAGCTGGGATTACAGGCGAGCAAATACCACACCCGGCTAATTTTGTTTGTTTGTAGAAATGGGGTTTTGTCATGTTGGCCAGGCTGGTCTTCAACTCCTGGCCTCAGGTGACCTGCCCACCTCCCAAAGTGCTGGGATTACAGGCATGCACTACCACACCCAGCTAATTTTGTATTTTTAGTAGAGACAGGGTTTCACCATATTAGTCAGGCTAGCTTGAACCCCTGACCTCAGGTGATCCACCCACCTTGACCTCCCAAAGTTCTGGGATTACAGGCTTGAGCCACTGTGCCCAGCCCATACTCACCTTTTGATCAGGACCTTGGGAAAAAAACGTTTTTTATTTGACTATTGGGATTAATTGTGTTTCTGCTGAACATCTGGTTTCCATTAGTCTCTTGGACACTACACATTTTGTAATGATGCCACATAAATGTTGTGACAACATGGAACAAATGCATACGAGCCTCATTCTTGGTTTCATTCTAAGTGCTTATTGTGTTTCCTTTTTCTTTCTTACCTACTTTTAATTTAGTTTTAAGTATCCATGTAAAATATCTTCAACAAAAATATACTTAAGTCTCAGATTTTGACTTGCATGTATATTTGCAGTTACTTTTCTGGATGGTCCTCTTTAGCTTGTTAAAACTAATAGATGATTTCAGAGAGTTGCTTTAAATAATTGTCTTGCTAACTAATGATTTTATTTGTTGGTGCTTCACATGTATGTTGTCATAATGATTTAAACTATCATTGTTTAAATCAAGGCTTATTAAAAATTTTACTTTATAATAAATTGAAGCCTATTAACTGAAATGTGATTGTCTGGTTTATCTGTATGCTACTATAGTTACTAGTTGCTAACACTGAATAGAAGTTTTATTAATGAAAAGCTTATAGTGTTCTAGAAGGAACTTATGAGAAACCTTTAAAAGGTAAACTCCATGGCAACATTTTTCCAGGTGATTTTAACAGACACGGCCTGGGCCAATTTGCTGTCGTGACTAGTTTTTATTTTATTTATTTATTTAGAGACAGAGGCTCGCTCCATCACCTAGGCTGGAGTGCAGTGCATGATTCTGGCTCACTGCAACCTCTGCCTTCCAGGTTCAAGCAATTCTCCTGTCTCAGCCTCCCGAGTAGCTGGGACTACAGGTGCCTGCCACCATACCTGGCTAATTTTTGTATTTTTAGTAGAGATGGGGTTTCACCTTATTGATCAGGCTGGTCTCGAACTCCTGACCTTGGGTAATCCACCCACCTCAACCTCCCAAAGTGCTGGGATTACAGACATGAGCCACCGTGCCTGGCCTGGTTTTTGTTTTTTAATGGCAACTACAAGTAAGCCACTTCTGCTGTCTCGTATAGTGCTTTCTGTATCTTCCTTATCACTTGCAATCATCATTACTAGAGTTAATTTTAACCTGGCAATTATCAAGTAAGAAACACTGTTCTAAGTACATTATGGGAATTGCCTCATTTAATTTTCACAGCTGCCCTATGAAAAATATACTATTTTATAAGTGGGAAAAATAAGGCACAGAGACATTAAGAAACCTGTTCAAGATTCCATGACTAATAAGTAGTAGAGCCTATGATGTGAACATGAGAGTCTGGCTTCAAAGCCTGTGTCCAAACCACTATAGTATTTCTGCATTGCTGCCAATTAAACTCTTCTGTGTTGTATCCTGAGTGTTATATGACAGCAGCTTGTTAAAAAAAAACAAACAGTGCCCTGCTGTGATTTCATTGAGCTATATGTAATAGCATATTACTGCATCCATTTAGTGCCGTATCAATGTGGTTATGAAGTATTGAGAGTTAGGCTGAAGGTAAAGATCACATGTTGGTTTGTACATGATTTTCCTAATTAGAAAACACCTGCCAGAGTAAATGTCACCAAATCAGGCTTGGCTGGTGTTTCATGGATTAACCATGGGAAATACTAGCTTACTTTTTCTTCCCATAGTGGTGGAGGTTAATGGTCAGAAGACAAAACCAGGTTGGATTGAATGATAGGCTATTCCAAGTATATTGAAATCAAATTATTAAGAATGTTTGGATTAATGTGTGTCTTTTATTTTATTTTATTATTATTTTTTGAGATGGAGTCTAGCTCTGACACCCAGGCTGGATTGAGTGCAGTGGTGCAGTCTCAGCTCACTGTAACCTCTGTCTTCCAGGTTCAAACTATTCTCCTGCCTCAGCCTCCTGAGTAGCTGGGATTACGGGTGCCCATCCCCAGGCCTGGCTAATTTGCTATTTTTAGTAGAGACAGAATTTTACCATGTTGGCCAGGCTGGTGTCAAACTCCTGACCTCAAGTGATCCACCTGTCTTGGCCTCCCAAAGTACTGGGATTACAGGCCTGAGCCAGTGTGCATGGCCAAATGTATAAGTTTTAAAAGAAATTATTGGCAAAGCAAGTACTCAGGCACAATGTGTGTCACTTGGCAAGTACTCAGAATTGTTGAACTAAACAAAAATTAAGGGTAAAAGTAGTTTCAATATTATTTGATCATTCAGCACGCCGAGCCTGGTTCTTCAGTTGGTACATTCAGCACCCTGACCCTGGTTCCTCAACTACAGAATGAGGAATTAGAATTAGATCCTTTCAGCTCTAAACATTTGCTCAAATAAGAATAAGAATAAGAATGTTTCTCTCCGACTTCTAGCTTGAACAGATGGATTTGGAAGTACGAGAGATACCGCCCCAAAGTCGAGGGATGTACAACAACAGAATGAGAAGCTACAAACAAGAAATGGGGAAACTCGAAACCGATTTTGTGAGTCAGATTCGACCCTTTGCCATATTTACTTTTTTAAAATTGTTTCCTCCTCATTTCTCAGTCAGCATTAAATGTACAGTCTTTCGGGCTCATGTAGAAGACAAGCAACAGCTATCATTCTTTATGACGTAGGGAGCTAAAAAATGGCTATAGAGTTAGCTAATGGTGGAATTTAAGGTATGTTGGATTAATGACTCACAAATAGATCCAAATCATGCGGCCCTTTGAGTCCGAATGGCATTTACTGGTACCTAGCATTTATTAACATTTTGAAACTCAGTTTCTGGCCTTTCAGGGTTTGCAGCCTCTAAGATGCAGCCTTTACAATTGCACTCCCGGACCTCAGGGGCTCATAATCTCCCGAAAGCAAATCTGTATTTTTGGATGCATGTTTCTATGTCTTTTTTTTCCTGGGATAAATTCTACAGACTTAATTAGATTTTTTAAAGGATATATTATATCCTTCCCCCGAAAAGATAAAAGAAACTACTTTCAATGCACAATTTATATGTGATTTTTTATATTAATTGCCCATAAGAATATTTAGCTGTCTCTTTCTATATATCTGGCATTTAACTTTATCTGCTTTATAGCAAATTGAAGAATATAAATGTAAAGGCATAATGTTGATGTTATTAGTAATTAAAAATTAATAGGAATAGAAAAGATACAGCTGAGTAATTCCACTCCTGCATATATATAAAAAAAAAATTAAAAGCAGCGTCTGAGAGAGAGATTTGCACATCCATATTCATAGTAGCATTTTCACAGTAGCAGAAAGGTGGAAGCAACCTAAGCATCTGTTGTTAAATAAATGGATAAACAAAATATGATGTATCCATACAGTGAAATATTACTCAGCCTTAAAAAAGGAAGGAAATTCTAACATATGCTACAACTTGGATGAACCTTGAGGACATTATGCTATGTGAAATAAATCACTCACAAAGACAAATACTACATAATTCCACTGATATGAGGTATCTAGAGTAGTCAAATTCATAGAAACAAAAAGTAGAACAGTAGTTACCAGGGACTTGGGGAGAGGGAGAAATGGAGAGTTGTTTCATGGGCAAAGAGTTTTAGTTTTGCAAGACTGAAACTTGAAAAAGTTCTGGAGATTGGTTGCTCACCAATGTGAATATATTTAACACCACTGAGCCATACAATTAAAAACGGTTAAGATGGTAAACTTTATGTTATGTGATTCTACCAGAATTAAAAATAAAAAGATACAGATAAAAATATTTTTAAAACACTGCTAATGATGAAAGGACAAAGAAGTTAACACAATAACAACTAACTGTTCTCATAGGCTGGCAGAGGAAATTAGGTTTTCAGCAAATTAATTAAATTTCATATAACTCACGTTAAAAAAAAAAAGATACAGGTGAGGAAAGATCTGAGCCTTACCTATGAGCAACAAGTCATGTGTTGACTGATAAATCGGCTGTATTTTTGAATCTGGGGCCCAAATTCACAAGGAATGTCAAGAATGCGTAAGGATCTTTCCACCTCATTCTTGCCTTAGGTGTTTTGCTTTTGGTGGGTATACCTACTAGACAACCGTATACTTTTCCACTACAAGACCAACATCAATGGACTTGGTAGATATCCCTCCTAGAGTCTGGAAATAGTATGATTTGCAGTTATGCATGCTTGTTTTGTATTTGAATGGCTATATTATCATGAGAAGTTGAGGTGGATCATATCAATTACTCTGATGCCTTTTAGACCATGCTCCTGTTAATTAAAGAAAACAAAACAAAAAAACTCATGATGGGCCCAAATTGATAAAATAAATGTATATGCCTAGGTCTGTGCTCTGTAAAATTTTCTCCAACTGCTTTGTGAAAGGCTAGTTTTGCTAAGCAAGAAATATGAAATATAGTGAGAAAATTGGGTTAATTTAAGAACTTGACAACTCAAATTTATACTGAGAAAATTCGAACTAAAGTTAAAGTTTCCGTATAAATGATGAAAGCAAAATAAAATATTGATAAGGATTGTTTTAGCTTGCTTACCTCATTTTTAATGGAACTCTTTTCTGAAGATTTTTCTTACGGGTTCTAGAAAAACAAAGGGTATCGGGGCCGGGCGCAGTGGCTCAAGCCTGTAATCCCAGCACTTTGGGAGGCCGAGGTGCGTGGATCATGAGGTCAAGAGATCGAGACCATCCTGGTCAACATGGTGAAACCCCGTGTCTACTAAAAATACAAAAAAATTAGCTGGGCATGGTGGCGCATGCCTGTAATCCCAGCTACTCAGGAGGCTGAGGCAGGAGAATTGCGTGAACCCAGGAGGCGGAGGTTGCGGTGAGCTGAGATTGTGCCATCACACTCCAGCCTGGGTAACAAGAGTGAAACTCCGCCTTAAAAAAAAACAAAACAAAGGGTATGAATTCACAAGGGCTGCGACAACAAAGTACCACAGACTGGGTGGCTTAAATGACAAGACGTTTGTTTTCTCACGGTCCTGGAGACTGGAAGTTGGAGTTGAAGGTGTTGGCAGGTGTGGCTCCTTTTGAGGCCTCTCTCCTTGATCTTTAGTTGGCTTCTCCCCACGTCTTCCTGCTACACTTTTCCATGGCCCAGTTTCCTCATCGTGTAAGACATCAGGCATATTGAATTACGGCCCACGAGAACGACCTCATTTTAATGTAATCACCTCTTTAGAGACCCTATCTCCAGAGTCAGTTACCTTCTCATTATGGGAATCAGGACTTCAACACAGAGATTTAGGAGAGATATAATTCACTTCATAATATTTAGGTTAGTTTTAATCTTTTATTCTTAAAATTTTTTTCAGAAGTTAAATGACTTCTGTGGCAATCTTTAGTCTTTTTTTGTTTCCCAAAGAGTACAATACTGGGTAAAGTCCTTTAGGTATTTGGAAATTGTATGCTTGGATAAGTGTTCCTTTCTGGGCTATATTTTCTGTTATAGAGAAAAATGGAAGCAACAACTATGAACTAAATATGTATTCTCTAGGCCAGGGATGTCCAATGTTTTAGCTTCCTTGGGCCACACTGGAAGAAGGATTTTCTTGGGCCACACATAAAATATCCCAGCACTGATGACAGCTGATGAGCTAAAGAAAAAAAAAAATTCACAAAAACCCTCATAATGTCTTAAGAAAGTTTATGAATTTGTGTCGGGCCGCATTCATAGCCATCCTGGGCTGCCTGCGGCCTGCTGGCCATGGGTCAGACAAGCTCGATTTAGGCTATCATTAAAAATTCATGTATTTATGTGTATCTGCTACCACAGCTTTCTTCTACCATGTTAGGAAACATCTTTCACCGCCACTGCTGCTATTGAATAGTGATTTGCAGTTTGTAAAGTACTTTGCCATACGCGATTTCATTTCATTGTGTGAAGAATAGACAGCAGATATGGATTACTATCCTCATTTACACATGATAGAACAAAGAGGCTTAGATTAATTATAGATTTCATGCAGCAAGTGTTTCTTGAGTTCTATGGTGTGTCAGGCACTGTCACACCATAGTGACACCTGCATTCTAGAATGACACCATGGTGACATTCTAGCACCTGCATTCTAGGTGCTAGAATGCAGCAGGGGTGAACAGGATAAAGTTCTTGTTGTCATGTATCTTAAATTATAGCAGGAGAAAAATCTAGTCGGGAAGGCAATAAACAAATACATACATATGATAATTTCAGGTAGACATACATTCTATAAAAAAAAATAAACTGAAGAAAAATAAAGCGAGTAAGTGAATAGAGAGTGGCCAGCGGGGTGATTGTGGCCATTTTTGCCCAGGCGTTCTCTGAGGTTTAAGTGAGAGCGGAAGAGAGGTGGGTGTGGTTGCAGAGGATGCAGAGGAACGGTCTATGAGGGCATTGTAGGCTGTGGCAAAGACCTTGGCTTCTGTTCTCAGTTGATGGAAAGCCACCAGAGGACTTTGAAAGTGAACGGTCCTTTGACTCTGTTTTACAGCTTTCTTCATTTTACCACACCATCTCACAGGATGTATTTGAATAGAGTGTAGAAAATGTCGGCGTAACTCCCTTGTTTTAATTATTGTTTCTTTTATATATTTAATCCCTTTTTAAAGTGGAGAATATCTATTTAAAGATATTTGGTAACTTTCTTATGCTGACATATCATACCTAGAAATATTGAATTTTGAGAAAGAATAGCAGAAATGGTTCTTCAGCTCTATGCGTATTGCCATTGAAGCTGTTCTCCTGTTGCCCTTGTAAATAGCAGGACTTTGGGGGAGCATGTATGTGCATGGGGAGAGGCAGAGGACAACTCAGTACTGTATTGTTTGACTCCTTTGTCCACTCGCTTTCTTTCGCTAGCCCCTCATTCTCCTCTGCCTACCCTTTGGATGCCTGGATTCTTCCACTGGCCTCCTCAGTGTCTGATCATCTTTCCCGCAGCTTCCATGGCTGCATCTATCCTAACTGGTATTTGTAGCTGAGACCTCTTGATAGCTCTAGGTTTATATTTCTTCCTGTTTATCCCAGAGTCTTTTAAACACATGCAGATTCAACAAGTACTGGTTACTTCAGAGTTATCATTAATTTTTCAACCTTGTACCGCCACTGGGTCACTGAGAATTAGCAGATCTACCACCTAAATATCTCTACTACTAGAAGCCTTCACAGTGTCTCAATCTGGATAATTGTAGTACTCTTTCCTAATTCTGTTCTTCTGTCATTCAAAACCCTCTATACCACTCCATAATTATCTTTTGAACACACTGATCTGTATAGATAGGTTATGCCATTACACAAAATCCCACTGAATCCTCATTGTCTGCTGAATAAAATCTGGGTCAATTTCTAGGTATTCTGTCCTGTTCCATTGCTTCTTCACATGTCTAGTAATTTTATTATAGTATACTTGGTGTTATGTATACTATGTTGTTATAAAGCCTAGAATTTATTATTATTTTTTAGAGCAGTGCTTATTGTCATCACTTCTTTAAGGATCTTTTTTTTTTTGAGACAGAGTCTTGCTCT